TGCTGTATACACTAATATATGTATCATTTAATACATTACTCTAGTTAATGTACTAACATAATGTTAGTAATGTAATGTTTAAATGTCTAAACTTCGAGATACTTCTTTCATACAGTTGTTGTCCATGTCATTGCTGAATAAATGTGGTTTCTGTAGTTAGTCCTGACTAATGGTAAAGATCTAGAATTGCAAATAATAACACCCTTTTCAGAAAATCGCTTTATCTTCTGGCAGTGAAAAATAACGCAACAGTCACCTTGCATTACCTGAATCACAATGTTTTAATACAGAATTAGCTTTTTTTAATTTAAATTTTAGCTGTTTTTTAAAATTATGCCTATCAAAATGTATGCAATATAGACAGATTAGAAATGATAGACAGGCAGGGAGACAGACCGACCAACAGATACATACATAAAGATATGCAGAATTATTCACTAAAGTGAGAATTTGAAGTGAATTCAAAGGGAATTTCAAATTCAAGGTAGAAATAGTTTAATTGGACCAATTCTATTAATCAACTATGATTCTAGTTCAGCTACTTTGGTCTTAAATTTGAAATTCCTCTTGAATTCACTATGAATTTTCACTTGAGTAAATAACCCTGATATGGCTATCAATCAAAAGATAGAAAGATTTGTGTCTCCAAATTATTCCCTTTCTAGTAATGACGTACTACATTAAAAACTCTAATTGGATTACATCATGAACACCGTTTAGTGTATTGAAGTATATACATTTTAGCTAACCCGCTATAATCGCTAATTATTTAGAGAGGTTTGAGGTGTTTATGCGATTTTGTAAAGCCCCCGAGCTCAGTTAGGACAGATCGACATTCCCACAAGTACCAGACCTGCGAGACGTGCAAGTCGCAAGAACCCTCACTCACCGGTCTGAGCCGATCATCTCACCACTGTTGTCCATGCACAGAAGCTGGCTGTCGACAGTCACAGGTGGAAGCGCTCACCTTATAGCGGGAGCAAGCACGGTCATGCGCCACCATTATTATGCAGATAGGGCATCCCTCGGCAACCAACCTGTGGCGGCCGCTGTCACATGCAGGCGAGGAGAGCGGATTCTGGATGGAATGGTACCCAGTCACGTGTTCTTGAACCTGGCTAATACTGTATCCCTGATGGAACCATGTGGGAGCTCACACATAGCAGCGTTCTGAGCCTGTATCCAGGTTACCAGAGGCATCAGATGCCGAGACAGATTAATATGATGCATTTCTACCTGTGTACAAATGAAAACGAATGGGTTAAAATGTTCAAAAGAAATAGCGTCTAAACTGAAAGCATTCATCTTGGGGGTTTGCCAAGTAACACATGCCAGTGCAATATTTGCTTGGAGACTACATTATATTAGTATGTGAATTATATATAAACTATATATCTGATACATAGATATCCCTAGTATTAACTTCTAAATTGCCACTTGTTTTCCTCTCTTAGTGTTTACCTTATAATCGCAAGAGTTAATTAAGGGGCTTGTTATTGTGACTGTCCAGATCTACTAGCTATTATATGGGTACATATGTTTTTGCTGTATAACTTACCTAAATGTATTTATGGGGATTCTGAACTTTTATTATGACAGTTCGGTTGGTTAATGCACCAAGAGAGAACATGATGGTTTAAAATGATACTATACATACCATCTCCTATGTCTCCCCATGTATTTGTATTTGTACAGCTTCCACCAGGGCCGGACTGGGGATACAAAGCAGCCCTGGAAAAAAAATAATCTATGCCAGCCCCACAGCGCATGGGGAGGTGAGTAAAAACACTATTTTTAAACACACACAGACACACACATACACCATCACAGACACACATATATACCATGACAGATGACAGACACACACACACCCCATGACAGACACACACACACCTTGATAGACACACACCATGGCACAGACAGACCATGACACAAACACATACACCATGACACAGACAGACACACACACACACACACACACATCATGACAGACCAACACAGACACACACCATGACAGACAGACACACACCATGACACACACACACACACCATGACAGACAGACACACACCATGACACACACACACACCATGACAGACAGACACACACCATGACAGAGACACACACACATACACTCACACTGACAGACTGACACTTAATATAGCTACCTGTGGGTGACTGGCCAGGGAGTCGTGCAGGGCCATCAGCTGGGTCAGGTGGGCTGGCGGCCGCAGGGGGGAGATAGCTGTGCTGGGGATCGCAGGGGGAGCTGGCTCCTGGCTGTTCTGGAGGTCGCAGGGTGGTGCGACCCAGTGGGCATCACATTAGTAGGAGAAAAAATGACATTCACCTCTGGAGAGTTAGGGCACAGATTAGCCGTGTGGGAGTTGGATGAGCAAATAGCACAAGCTGGGGTTTTGAGGCCCGCAAAGTGTCGACAAAAAAGCTCTGTATCAAGCACACCCCAATGAGCAAATGGCACAAGCTGGGGTTTTGAGGCCCGCAAAGTGTCGACAAAAAAGCTCAGCTTGATAATTGAACTGAGATAGAGCGGCCAATGCCTTTGGGAAAAGGCACGTTGGCAGTCGTAAAAAGACGTACCACCGTACTTGTGCCCCAAATCCACCAGCTTGTGGAGATAAAGGTCCAATTCTTCTCTCCTATCCGGATATACAGAGCATATCACATCTCTGTATATACCGAAAGCCAACACAAATTCGGGAATAGATAGTTTCCGATTCAACCTAGGGTCCCTAGATTTCAACACAACCCACACATCTCCATATGCATAGGTTTTATTTTCAAGGAAATCTTGCGAGGCTATAAGAAGTGATACCAGATGATATCCTTCCCTTCCAAGATGTCCTTTTTAGTGTTTGCAGGCACCATATGTGCCGGATTAATAATATGTGGGTCTTTCAGACCGGTTGGTATATTATCCGGTAGGGGGTCCAGGCGCACCGTAGCGACCGGAATCCCTAATGCAGAAGATGACCGTTGCTGGCTATCTGCATCTATCTTGTCGAGTTTATCCGTAATACGACCCAAAGAGGTCAGGACTGAGGACAAAACAGTATGCAGATCAGAAGACTGGCTGCCACTGGACCCTTCCCCTGTTATCAGTCTGTGTATTCATCAGTCTGTATAATTCTGCTTTCCTAGCAGTAGCTGGGAAAGGAATATTCCTCTTCCTTAGTTCGGCAGTGATCCGAGGAATGGTCCATGCCCTGAGTGATGCAGGGCTTGCGTTGTCGTCACCCCGGGATGGAGTGACCGATCTCGCCGGTGTGCTGGGGATGGACAAATCTTCCCCACCTTCGGGTATTTGTGACATGCTACAACATAAAAACTGGCTGGTGTAACTAATGCCAAGTGGCGAAAATATTACTTAGTAACGTGACAGGTGAGGCCCTACTAGTTGCCAAGCGGCTTTGAGAGGCACTATCTATGATTTGGTTGTGTGGGGTACGTGGCCATTGGCATTATGGCGGGGTGATGGCCTCTCTGTGATTCGTAGAAGCATAAGACAGAATGGGAGTGACAAGTGAGGCCCTCTCTATGCAACCAAGCGAGGCGGCTAGCTATGAATTGGCCAGAGGGAATGCCGTACCTCCGAAATGAGGATGGATGTTGGCCTCGCGGGACCACTAACTTAAGGTCAGAAAAACATACCTAGAGGCTCCTATTATGTATGCCAGTATATCTGTACTGTTACCCGATAAGGGTAGGTAGGGAGGGAGAAATAATCGAGAAAAACATGGCGTACCTGATGAGCAAATTGCAAGATAGTATGATAAGGTGATACAGGCGATCTGTAGCAACCTACGAGAGTAATTTTGAGTTTGTAAGGGTTAAAAATATGTACCCCTCAATCCCCTGCTATCCCGATACCTACCAGTAATTATTCCAACAGTAGGGGACTGGAACCAAATACTCAAAAGAGCAAGGATGCCTATACCTAGTAATACATAAAAAGCACATATAAGGACCCAGGTCTTGCGTGACCATTAAGGCATAATTAATCGTGATTACTGACCTGTCAATTGACAAAGTTGGTAGAGTAGCAGCCCACTGTGGATTTGCTGTTGAATACTGAAAACATAAGAGGTCCATAATCATCAAACGGCTAAGCATTGCTCGTGACAATATGTCCTGTATATATATTAATATGGTGTATGTGTTAATTTAAAACCAGAAAGTATATCGTAGGCCAAAGTATTATAATTGAACCATCCTCCTGATGGCTGAATTGATTCAAGACATATATCCTAACAAGCAAAAATGTGTCACAACTACTGCTACAAAAATCCTCTGTAACATGTAATTGTTCCAGCCGTGTTGTCATAACATATGTCTACAAATATTCTGTAATCATACCTAAATCAAAATGCAATTTATGCCACATGTCATAACCCTTATGACCACCAGGGGTTGTGGAACCAGAACTCGAGAGAGAAATCTGTAATGATAACCAGCCACCAGAGGTCGCCCTAGTGCCTATCACAAGTTTTTAACATCTAATATTGAAAAGAGTTTCGGCAAACGAACGGTCATAAGATGACAAGAATATGTAACGAATTGCCCCACGCGAATAAACATTTAAACATAGCTATATACCGTATATGAGCCGTAACCGAATGCCGGCATTCGTGTAATTATGTACCGAACTGCTACCGTGCTTGTGATCGTCGTACTAAGATGACGTAAACCGGCCTCGTCGAAAATTGCGACGGCCGTGTAACTTACGATTTTGCCGCAACGAAAAACCCAGCGACTGCTCAGCCTAGAGATGAATCCAGCCAGACGAGCCCGGAAGAAACAGGACCCTGGAAGCTGGCCACGGAGATACAGGTAAGCAGAATGGCGTGAGGACCGACCGGAAGTGACGATCTCTCTCCAGACAACTCGCCAGACCTAACAGAAGTGGAACCAAGCCCCTCCCACAACTTCAGGCCACGCCTTCCATATATACAATTACACACACACTGATTTTTTTTATCAGTGTATGTGTAAGTGTACACACTACATACAAATGCACACCTGCATTCAAATACCAACATTCACACACATATTTGTGTTTGAATGTAAACATGTTATGGAGTATGTGTGTGAATGTTGGTATTTGAATGCAGTTGTGCATTTGTATGTAGTGTGTACACTTACACATACACTGATAAAAAAAATCATTGTGTGTGTAATTGTATATATATATATATATATATATATATATATATATATATACATATATATATATATATATATATATATATATACACATACATATATATACAAAACAGAAATGCTTGGCACTCACCCTTTCTCCAATACAAAGTTTTTTGATGCCTTGGTGCAATCCCACGTTGAAAAATATGCGGAGAATAAGAGATGCACTCTAAGGACTTGTATAAGCAAAAGTTGCAGTATTTATTAAAAAGAAGGTTTACATAGTATGATCATACTATGTAAACCTTCTTTTTAATAAATACTGCAACTTTTGCTTATACAAGTCCTTAGAGTGCATCTCTTATTCTCTACATATATATACATATATATATATATATATATATACATATATAAACAAAGTAAAGACAGAAGTACTCTCTCGGTTTTCCAACTGTATAAAAAAATTATCACAATCTACACATCAACGTTTCGACCTTATATTTGTGTTTGAATGTAAGCATGTTTTTGTATGGAGTATGTGTGTGAATGTTGGTATTTGAATGCAGGTGTGCATTTGTATGTAGTGTGTACACTTACACACACACTGATACACGGACACATACACACATGAAAATACACATACACACAGATACACACACTGGCACACAGATACACACACATAAATATCCACAGATACACAGATACACAGACACTTAAACATTGACACAGAATACGCACACAGATACAAACACAGATACACACTGATACAAAAGGACACGGATACACACACACAAAGATACACACATACAGACACACAGAAACATACTGACACACACACATACATACTAACAGATAAACATACTGAAACAGAGATACACATACAGACATACATACTGACACGCATATACTGAAACAGATATACACACACATACAGACACACAGGCATACATACTGACACACAGACACATACTAACATACATACAGACACACACACACACACACACAATCATAATGAAATACAGACACACACGTACACACTGACACACATACACATTCATACTGACAAACACACATACATACTGACACACACACACACATACATACATACAGACACACACATAAATACTGACACATGTGTACAGGGCCATTCGGACTACAGAATCTGTATATTCTACATGAAATTTAACAATGTCCAATTTAAAAAAATCAGAACAACCAACTGGCAGCATGAGTATTGTCAGTGGGCAGATAGTTAAAAATCTTCAGGGCGCCTGATTAAGGGCTTTATTGGCCTGGGGCTGAATGCAATGATGGACCTATTACATTCTTTGAATTCATATATAGGGAAAAATACATATAATATCCTACTTTAATAAACAGAAAATGATTAATCTTCAGTCCCTACATTGGCTTCCTATAAGATATAGAGCTCAATTTAAAATTCTGTTTCTTGCTTTCAAATCTCTACATAATGCTGCTCCCACCTATCTATCCTCCCTTATACACAAGTATTCCCCGTCTAGACCCTTACGATCTGCTGAAGACTTACGTCTATCTTCTGTCCATGCTCCCACCTCTGATGCTCGCCTTCAAGATTACTCGAGGGCTGCTCTGGTCCTGTGGAACTCACTTCCTTCCTCCGTTAGATGCTCATCCAGTCTCCACTCGTTTAAAAAAATCGTTAAAAACCCACTTCATAAAAATATCTTAATTGAACTGTTAATAGCTCCCGACTGATTCCTCTTCTGCAACTGTCACTAGTCTAATACTATCCTTACCTTTTTGTGTCATTTTACCCCACTCCCTCTAGCATGTAAGCTCATTGAGCAGGGCCCTCAACCCCTCTGTTCCTGTGTGTCCAACTTGTCTAGTTACAACTACATGTCTGTTCGTCCACCCATTGTAAAGCGCTGCAGAATTTGATGGCGCTATATAAAGAACATAATAATAATAATAATAATAATATGATAATCCACAAATTTCGAGATAGGCTCTAATAACTCTTTCATTTGCAGACACAACGCACAATGGGTCTGCCCAGGGGATTCTCAGCATTCTTGTGGATTTTTGGTAATGTGTACATTACTGGATGTCTTGGGTGTTTCACATATAGATATTGGAACAATTTATTATCCAATCCCAGCCTTTGGCCCATTTTAAGTAAAGTATTATCTTTTTCTGATACTTAATTACTGATCAAATGTAAGACGTTGATAGTGCAAAACCTACAAACTGTACATATATAAATAATAAAGTCCCCCAAACATATAAATGTACCTTGAACCAAATCTCTAATTCTTTGTGAAGTGCTATTGAGAAAGTGGACTTGCTTCCAATTAGGAGCGTAAATATTAAAAATTGAGAAAATCTTATTGTCCAGCTTACATATTAAGGACAGAAATTATCTTATCATCTATTAACTTGAATATGCATTCATATTTTAAATCTGAATTTAAAAAAGAAATAGTCTCCCTTCTTTCCTTTTTAATTTAAGTTATGCAAGAAAATACAAAGAAAACATTCTGGCATTTAAAACCAAAGAACATACTGCTCACAAAATAGACACGTCACTGTGATGACCAATGCGTGCTCTAGACATGAATTGGTGTCCGGTACGGAAAGGTCATAACATTAGGGAGGATTCTAGGCATATTATTGACAAGTGGTAGTTGAATACAATCTAATCTTGTGAGCCATTGGCGGTGTCCATGCAGCAATATCAAACTTTAACTCTTGCCATGACAACACTGAGTGGGAGCTTTTCTTATATTAGGGTACCCCTAACCAAAGGAAAGGTGGGGGGGGGGGAGTAGATGGAGGCATAAGCCTATAACACACCATAACTGCTTACGGTCAAGGAAGTACTACCAGTTTCTGGAAAACGGGTGAGTAGCTGTGGAACTTTACCAGGTGATCTGGGTTAACACAAAGCCCAATGGCTATTTCATGAGTAACAACAGAAACCAAAACTAAACCTGAAGTACATTACTGACAGCATGTATAGTCAGATGGTAGATACTGCTGCTCCTCCAGCCCATGGCACAAAAGACACTACGTTGGGAGGGTCCTAGGTGTTAGATGTTGCTTGGTGTGACGTGGTAGAGGTTTTTGTACAAAGTCCCAGTGCTGTCAGGAGTTATGGAGCCTTGGTAACAGGGCTTAGTCTATGCATAATTCCGTTGTGTGTTACCAATAGAGATCTAGGTATCCCCCATCGGTAAGTGATGCCTGCGGAGTGCAATTGGTGTGTGATGTGACGGAGGAACCTGCACCATTGCAGGGTAGCTTGAGTAAAATTTTGGTAAAAATTCAGCTGGGAATTCAGCTGCGCCTCAGAGCTGACAAGAGGTGTCCCTTGTCCTGGGAGGTTGTGCAGCATTGGTAAGCATCTCGTGGGACAGTCAAGGGCCCATCCATGATGAATTTCCTAGCCAACTGAGGGGGTAATACAGAAGCCACAAGGCCCTGGAGGTAATCAGGTAGTTCCTCAGCCGTGATTTTGTACGGCACCCCATAAATCTTAACGTGGTTGCACCTGTGGCGGTGTTCAAGTGCTAAAAATTGTAAGGTAAATACCTGGTGGCTGGATTGGAGAATAAAGAGTGAGTCCTTTATTTTTGATACCGCCGTGGGAATGTCCACTACATCCTCCTCTGTGGCCTTAACCCGATCTGTGACATGCTGAACCTCAGTTTTGATCACTGACTTGTCTGTTGCATTTTTCTGTTGCATTTTTCTGTATGTCAAGCAGAAGAGTCTGAATGTCCTGCTTGGTAGCCAAGGTAAGTAGCAACTGCCAGGCCCAGTTCTTGGGAAGTAAGTATCCCACTGAATTCTGACAGGTTTGAGGTGGTCGGCATATCAGTGCTATCCTCAGCCTGCTTTTGAAGCATGGTGCCGATGTTCTAAGACTCTGGCACCGCTCCCAGTGTAGGCTTTTGGGTCTTGCACCCCATGGTTGAAGCGGAGGTTAGGGATGTCTGCAGGAGGTGTGCTGCTGTGTCTACTGCGTAGTTCAGGAGCAGTCCGCCCAGAAGTGAGTCCCAGCTAGGAAAGGCCGATGCTTCAATTTTGCGGCTTTCGAAGGCTGAAAGAAGGGCATTGGTGGGTGCAGAAATCCTCACTGCATCAGGGATATTGTCTGCCCGAGTCGGATGACCCCTGTATCAAGAGATTTTTAATAGATTAACTTGAAGCTGCCGGGAACTGAGAGAGATGGTGTCCACTCCGGTTCACTGGCAAGCTTCGTTTGCCATTATAATAAATAATACAGTTAACTGAAAAACGTTCCAATCTGTAAACAAATGTAGAGAGTTATTCTTAGCAGTCTGGGCCTTTAAAAGAAACCCTGATGATAAGAAGCTGGAAACTTTATTATTATTTATTATTATTATTATATTTATAAATAAACTTTAGAAATAAATATACATTAACATTTTTCTGTATTACCATATTTTCCTGCGTATAAGACAACTTTTTAACCCTGGAAAATCTTCTCAAAAGTCGGGGGTCGTCTTATACACCGGGTATAGGGTCGTCAATACCCGGTGTGCTAGACCTAGGGCGCCATATAGCAGGGGGCGCCCTGTGCCCCCATCGCCGGCCCTTCTAATGCTGCAGCCGCCTGAGCGCTCTATAGAGAGCCTCAGGCGGCTGCAGCACTGCCTCTCTTCTCACCTCCCCTTCCATGTGTAGAGTGGGTGGCCGAGCTCCTCTTTGTCCTGTCAGCGGTACAGGAGATTCAGTTTCCTGTTCCCGGCCGGACTGAAAGGAAGTGAGCACTCAGTGTGCACTTCCTGCCAGTCCGGTAGGGAACAGGTAACTGAATCTCCTGTCTGCGCGGTACCCGGCCGGAATGACAGGGCTAAGAGGAGGATTGGGGGAGTAAAAGAATGGAGAGGGGGAGTGTAACGGATCGCCTGGCACCCGACTGGGTACCTCCGTTAAAGGATGCTCCTAGCGCTTCCAGAGGACTCCAAGCACTGCAGCAGACACCACAACCACCGAATT